TCAGGACCCATGTCACACAGAGGAGATCAGACAGGCAAGAGACAAATTATGCATAGTTTTGAAAGTCATATTGATTTGGGGGATACCAAGGAATGATTGAAATGTTTTAAGCAACAACTTAATGTAATCAGAGAGTCATTTTTTTCAAACATCACTTTGACTACAATTTGGAGAATAAATTGGAGGACATAAGTGAGCAGGATATTGTTTATGTTAATTTGGGGGAAAACCACAAGCAAAAGCATTATTATATTGTAGTACAGAAACAAATATACATGTGAAAGTATAGAAAATTAACTATAAGGATCAGAAAATTCCTTATAGTATTGCCTATAAAAGCATGGGAGTGTGGGATATGCAGGTAGGAAAGACAGGGCTAGTTATAAGAAAATTAAGCTTTCTCGCCATGTTTTATTTCTTAAAGACAGGAAACAACTAATAGCTGTTAGTTCCGAGTCGTGAAAATCGGGATGTTTGTTATATTATTCTTTGAAAATTTTCCTATCTCTTGATTTCCTCAAAAGGAAAACAAAATTAAGAAAAAAGAAGGAGAAGGGGAAAGCAAATCAGGAGAGAGTGGTGTGTCACAGAAGGCAAGGGCAGAGAGTATTTCACAAGGGAAAGAATGGCTGTTTGCCGCTGCTGAGAAGTCAAATAGAATGAAAACTTTAAAATGTTCCCTGCAGTTACTGTCATGGATGTCACTGAAGACTTGACCAAAAGCCTTGTCAATGGAGTGCTAGGAACAGAAGCCAGAGGGAGGAGGTAGTTGTCAACAATCTTTGGTGATATCTGGGTTTGGAAGTGGAATCGGGGAGGGCTTGTTCCTAAGAGGAGAGAGACAAGCCAGTTTCTTTGTTGATCAGAAGATGTGAGAGGCTAGAAACAAAAGGTCAGAATTTCTGAGACTGTGTCAATTATTAAGAACATGCTGAAGAACTGGTCTCATGCTGAAGCTAGTTAAAGGAAAGAAAGATGGAGAAAGGAACAGGCCCCATGGTCTGGAAATATAGAAATCAGGGAAGTACAAGAGCAGTCAAGCTGGAATGAGAGGTGATTGTGATTTGGGAGTGGGATATCAGCATTAGTGTTTTAGAATATGGAGTCTTTTCTGAGGATAGGTCTAAGGTGAAGTCCCAGAGTGGATGGCAGAGGGGGAGAGAAAAAAGACAGTGTAGATGAGAAAGACAAAAAACTGAGACATCAGAGGGTTGATGGTTAGATGGAATGCTAACACTATAATGAACAATGATGACAACAGGAGGTAGGACAGATAAGACAGTGAGCCTGGCACTGAGTCTTGGAAGAATGAGGTAAAATGAGGTCTGTGAATGAGAGCATGGATGCATTTATAGAACCCAGCCTTCAAAGGTCGAAAGTTTTTGAGAGGGGGAGAACTGACTTGAAAACAGCATGAGGCAAAAAGATGACACTGACCTCACTTTTCGGCAGTATTAGGATAAAGGGACAAGAGGGAGAAGGAACAGTCCCAACAGGAAAAGGGGAAAGCAGTATTCCAGAAACATCCAGGATTCTTTGTAACGGCGATTTTCTCTTTAGAGAGAACTTCTCATTTAGAGAATGAAAAAAAAAGCCTAGGTATCACCCCAACTTAATGAATCAGAATTTCTGAAATCTAGAGATTTTTGTCATTTAAGAGATTCCTTGGTAATTCTAATGTGCAAATGACTTTTTTTTTAAAAGAGAGGGAGAGAATTTTTTAATATTTATTTTTTAGTTTTTGGCACGCGCATGCCAGGTGAGCCCGCTACCGCTTGAGCCACATCCCCAGCCCCAAATGAATTTTAAAACCACTGATTTAAGGCAAAGAGAAAACTTTGGAGAAGAGGTTCAGGATACAGGATACAGATAGCTTTCTTCCTTATAATAGTCCAAATGTACAAATCATGTGCCTGGAGGACTCATACCTTCAAGGAGCTGAGCTATAAGCACTAGCATATCCTTTTTCCCAAATTCACTACTCCTTTCTGTCTTCAGAGATTTCCATAAAACAGCTAGTTGTGGTCTTTAAAGGGATCCTGGGCAAGTGTTTTGTTTTATTTTAATCTTTCTCCACACTTCCCCAGGTGATTTAAGGGAAGCAGATGTCACATAAGCATTTGTTGAAGGAGAGTTGTTTTGGGCGGCTCCCATCTCTGACCCAATTATTGACACAAGGCAAGCCACTTTTTTCCTGTGTGCCTCCATCTGACCCCTGTAAAATGTGACCTCAGGATTAATGTGGAGGATAACAAGGACGACAGAGATGCTAGTTAACATTTACAGAGCAGTGAGTGCCCTAGATTCCCCATCTACACACACCATCTAATCTGGACAATCCCTGGGAAATGAGTAGAATAAGTGACTCCAGAGAAGCTCCAGAAATAAAAGTGACTTGCTCAATATCACCAGTTAGTAAGTTACATAACCCCAGAAGGATTCAGGAGAACAAGGCCTTAATGATTGCACTTTGTGCTGTTTAACTACAAAACCTGCTAGAGTTTTGTCTAGTTGTAATGTGGTAATTCTTTAACTCTCATTGGCTCCCAAGGACCAGGGTAAACTGCAGGCTTCAAAGGTTTTGAAGGCGCAGTGGTTTTACTCAACAGTTAAGGCAGACAGCTGGGAGCAAGTCTGAGGTACACGGAAGAGGAAATGACATCAAGAGGTTTCATCGCTGGCTGGCCTCCCCAAAGGTGCTCCCTCGAGGATGTTTGGAGGCTTACAGTAGCTGGCTGTTCTTTCTCTCTCCTGGAGCATCTCTCTTGGGCAGGTGGAATTGTAATATGACGTGGTCAGGACAACGGTCACCTAACTGGATGGAAAGACTTTCGAATCTAATAATTGCCAAGAAGATTTTGGGTGGTATGTCTTTGCTGTGCAAAAGTAAACTCAAATTCTTTCCCTCTTGTATTCTACAATTTTAAATTAGGTAAATTTAATCTCTTGCCTTTTGGTTCAGTGTTACTACAAATTAAACATGCACGTATTAATATTGCAAATAATTTCCCTTTAAACAATATCCTGAAACTCGATGTGGGGCATTTCCAATATATCCATAAAGCAAACAAGACAACTTAATTGTTTGTTTCTCCAAGGGAAGGAGCTAAACCCGGAATTAATTTGGTTCAGACTGTGAAACAATTCGTTTGCTCTGCCTAATTCTGCCAATTAAAGAACTTTTCCCAGACCCAATTAGCATGTAAATCAGCAGCGGAAAGTAAGGAAGCGGCCTTAGCGACCCCAGCAGGGTGGAAGTGCCTGACCAAGAACCTCCAGGAGCCTTAGGCCCAACCACTGGGCGGCCAGTTCGCGCCAGGATGAGTTTGGGTACCCCATTTGCACTGGCTCTGCCATCACCAGCCGAAATCTGGGTATTAAGTAGAGCAGCCAAAAGTTGAGAGCCGTGCAGGCAGCCAGAGCAGGATAGTAGAGTGACTTCCAGGAGCCCGCCCTCCACGCAGGCCACCGCAGCCCACAGCCAAGCGTCCAGCCTTCTCCTCAGTCCCCATCCCGAGCCAGCTTCTGGAGCCACAGGGGCTGCGCCCGCACCTAGGACCGCGCCCCGCCCCCCCCCCCCCCACCCCCCCCCCCCCCCCCCCCCCCCC